ATACTGGAAGGTTGTTGTAAGCCTCCCCCCCACAAAGCCTTCTCTTCTCCAGGCTGAAGAACCTCAAGTTCTCTCTTCCCTGTAGGGTTGATGCTCTAGCCCTCTGATCATCTTTGTGGCCCCTCTCTGGACCTGCTCCAATAGCTCAATATCAGTCGTACATTGTGGGCCCCAGAACTGGATGTGGTATTCAAGGTGGGGTCTCACAAGTCTTTATTAAATAATGATGGTATTGTCTTGTCACTTTCAACAAAGCAGACCTATGCATTGCATTGTGATGTTATAATGAAGCACAGCAGTAGGAATGGCTCTGCTTCTGTTACTGTGGAAGGAAGGAATCTTGAGCAAAAGGCTTTTTGGTTTTCATTGCCACAGCCAACTCAGTTTCAACAAGAAAGGTTGGGACTAGAGAGACTGCTGCAGCAGCAGCAGGTGCCTGGTCTGCAGCAGAGGTGAGGGCTCAGCAGGGATCTAAAGAGCTGTCCCCAGTGCCTTCTGCTTTGGCATTCGGCTGCTGGAATCTCAGATTGTTTACCAAGAGCAGCTGAAAGATGAGAGAGACGGGAATTCATCATTCTGAGATGAGAGTTCATTCAGTGACAGGCTTTATATGATCGCTGGTGCCTCAAACAGTTCGTTTTTCAGTGAGAGAAAAACAATTTCCCCATGAAGGATTTTTTTAACCAACATTCCCAGTGTTTCAATGATTTTAATATAGTCTTTCCCTTCTTTCTAGTTGGGAGAGGGGTCTAAATCTGTGGCGCATATAATTCATTTCCATTTTCTGAAAGGTTTGTTGTAGTTGTGGCTGGTGAGCAGCTTTAATGTAGCCTTCCTGTTATATTTACAAATGTGGAGTCTGTTGATGTTTAATACAATCTGTATTGAAACCACAGCATAAGTATAGATATTATTTATTCTATGCAAACGGTGATTTTTTTTCCATACTGGCTCCATATCTCATGGTTATTTGTGTGTGAGAAAGAGAGGGCTATGGAAAACCTATCAGAAGTGGCCTGTGTACAGAATAAAGAAAATGCAGATCATATTGTGGGCTGCAAGATAATACAGGGAAGGGATTGTGATTGTTTTAAATGCAATACATGGGAAGTTATTTCAAGCCAGGATGTAAATGACATTTCAGATTCTGAAAAGAATAATTATGTGATCTGTTGCTTGAAAGACAAAATCTTTTTTCATTTTATTTTATGCTTCAACCTGTGAAAGACATCTCTGGGATTTATTCTTAGCATTAGATGAACTTGATGGAATCAAGTGGAATCACTAATAACCTTGGTCTGTCAGACAGTCATTCACTGTTTGTCCCAGAGTTGGTTAGCCCACGTACATCTTCCTGACACAGTGTTCTTAATATTTGTCTAGGTCTCAAATCTGTTATATTATTTTTGTGCCTTGCAAAATACAGCCTGAGTCAACAAGTGACTTCTTCAGCTCATTGAATCCCAGTTTCCCCAGGAGGTAAGCCTGTGCTGTGATTCACTCCTGCTGTGTTTGTCAGTGCATCAGAGCTCTGTACCTGTAGGTGTGCATGCAGCTAACAGGAACTTGGGCACCTAGGAGCTTTTGAGCTGAGCCATATCATCTTACTGATGGAAGTTTATTCAGTGTTCATAAAGCACGTACGTAGACTGTTCTGCTGATTGCTTATTGAGGTACCAGCAGACCCATGCAGAACAGTCTCTGGACTTTGTCTGCACAAGCTGGCTCTTCCACAGCAGATTAAGTGGATTTCCTCCACTTTGACAGCTTCGGATTTCAGTGTCTAACACGTTTCAGTTCTCTGCAAAACACGGGCACCAGCAACTTGACTACAAGGAACCTCTCAGTTTTACAGCACAGCTGGGCTCCACTGTTTTTACCTGCACTCCCATCGTCTCTCTTACACTTGTGTTTTTTCTTTTAGTGAGAAATAGAATTTGGAACCTATTAAAAGTGCAGAGACATGATAACAAACTATCTTAATAAAAAATTGCCACAAAAGGGGTGAACAGTATAGAGATGTAGCGATAGTGTGATAATAATATTAAGCTTAGGAATTGGTTAAAGCAATTTGAGAAAGACATGACGTTTCATTTTTATAGACGGTAACCAGCCGTTCACAGTTGACTACGTGTTAAAAGAGTAAAAAATTTGTATCAAATACAATAGGTACATAAACTAAACAGTCTGAATGTTCTGTGCAAGGGAGTTTACAGAAAACTGTAGTAATCTCTGTCATAAATGGACGACACAAGAAAAATGTGTATTTACTGAAAGAGACTGTGACCACAAGAGATTACCTCTGGATATTTGCTAGTAATTATTCTCCTCTTAGCTTTGTGATTTAACCTAACTACTAGCAAAAATTGATGAAGAATTTGCCTTTTCTTTCTTTGCTTTAAAAGCAACGCTGACAGATTGCATTATTGTGGGGTTTTTTTATTTGTACCAGGGTGACATTGTGACTAACACACTTCACCCCAGTAGTTCACTATAGCCTAGTAGGCAGCAACTGCCCAGGAAATCAGAAATCATAGCTGCAAATTATCTCAGGTGGGGGATAGGAGGGAATGTTTTTTTTTCAGCTACCTCAGCAAGTGGCTTAGCAAAGAATCTATAAGGGAGAGCTGCACATCTATTGCTAAAGAACTCGGGCTGCCTAGTGACATATTGGTAAGAGACAGCAGAAGAGACATCCAGTGTAGAAAACTGCAGAGAGGATGCAAAAAATGCATCCTAGTTAGCGTGGGAGGTCGAAACAGAGGGAGACACTTGGCATTCAGGCTCACCCTGTGCCTTCTTGTATCTCCCTTTCCAAAGCACTGAGGTTAGTGTTATAGAGAAACCTGTGAAAAGGAACATAAGCTCTCACTTCTGTCAAAAATATCTTTGGAAGTGTAAACAAGAGGGAACTGATTGTTTCCACTGTGTGAGGGCGGGTGAAAGCAGAGAAATAGCCCAGTTACGCACCTTCTTGAGAGTCCCAGGAGCTGCACTCCCCACAGCTTAGTTACAGAGAACAAAGGAGAAAAGAAATTATATCTGCTGAAATCAAATCCCTCCCTGATCTTTTCCTAATCAACCTGACAGCTTCTAATTGCTGTGTTTGCAGGTCCTGCTGGACCTGATTATGCTTTCCTTCTAACATCCACTGTCATCTGAAATATTCCCCTGAATTTCCTAAGATAAATATTAACTTGGTTTATAAGAGTTTCTGGAAGGTGATGAGATTTAAGTATTTATTTAATTGGCTAATGTTATGAAGAACATTCCTCAGTGGTAGTAATGCTGTGTTATCTGGAGTTTCATTGCCTAATGTCTGACACCACGAGGGTGTCCCAGTTACATGGGTGCCACCTCCTAATAGGTAGTCCTTGTGAAATTTGTGGGATAGGCTCCTGCTTCTTGATCTGAGAGGTGAATTCTGCCCATTGGTAACTCATTCCTATTATATTATTGTACTTTGTTCAAATTAGCCTACACCATAAAATCATTTTGCACATAATTCATCCCAAAAACTGCTTCGTGATATATTGTAACCAAGACAAATTAACTTCATTTAGCTATTTGTGAACTTTACAGGGAGTCAGAGACTCCTCTGGCACCTGGCCATTGAGCTGATATGTGGGAATCCTGTAATAATCCTTACGTGCCTTTGAAGGGTTATTTCTTTTAGCACTACCAACTGTAATAGCCAGATGGTGTCACTGTGCCTTAGATGTCAGAAGGGTCAAATAGCTATTATCTATGGACTACAGAAACGGATGCTTTGTAGTTCTGTGTACTCTGTATCTCATTTCCATGAACACAGAAGTACAATTATATTGAAAGATGAGAGAAGAGGTCAATTATTAGATGCTTGGTTCACCGGAGGTAGGGGTATATATCACTGTTGAAGGCAACCATATGATGCAGTCAGCGTTTACTTTTAGGGGACAGCAAACACAACAAATGAACTGTGGTTCAGATCAAGAGCAAATATCTTTCACATTCTTCTCCTTTTGCTTAGCTGTCTTAAAAGAAAAAAGTCATCCTTTGCTTTCAGAAGGAGCAAAGGTAATAATGTGGTATGTATCAGATGTCTGCATCATTTATTACGGTTGCATGTGGAAGCCACACTTGATTTAAATAGATTATATTTCCCTATAGTCTCCTTTATTTTGCCGATGTGCGTAGGCCATCGAGTAAGCACTGTGTTTTCTTGTTCAATTCACCCGCAGGCCTGGCAGCTACAAAGCTGTATAAAATGATTTTCCAAGTCTATGGAACAAACTTACTATCTTGCTCAGTCTTGCTATTTATTGTTGACAGAAAAACTAGAATTCAAAAAACGTTAACTTTTTATATCTTGCTCTGGCACTAGCTTTCTTTCAGACCGTGTAAAAATGAAGTTCATGTGGTTTGCTAATGAAGATGTGGTCTATTTTGGCTTTCCAACATACGCAAAATTTCTCACTGTGAAATCTTAGGGAAAATAAAGCTTTTTGATGGTATTTCTTGGTTTAGTACGAGGAATAAAGACATTTTCATAGCATTTTCATCATTTCTTAATCAATTACACCTGTTTCCCTATGTAAGGTGTTCGGTCCAGACAGGATGCTTCGATGATGATATACGGTGCACGACTGCATTTACCCATTACTGTAGACATGCTTTTTTCTTGTGAATCTTTGTTTTTATATTTGCCTCACCTACTGTTTTACCCTCAAATTCAGTTTATATATTTTTTTTTGTTTCTGGAAACGATGCTATGGGCATAACAAGCTCCTCTGAACTGTCACAGTTCATATGTAAAAAACAGCCTTTTAAAGTTGTCTTTGTGGCTGTTGTAAATCTCTTAATTCTTGCTCATGCTGCAGAACTGAGTGTTTCCGAGTATGGTTAGTTTAGGTTGCTTTTTGCAGGACTTCTACAGTACTGAGAAGGGTGTTGGGGAAAAGATTCTGAAAAGAAGGCAAACTTGACAACTTGTAGTTGATGAGAATTCATTTGTATGATAGGTTACGCCTGGAGGTCATTGTGGTGTTTGGGCTGGATTGCATGAAAGGCAATGAAGGGCAATGAAATGCAAGCAGTCTATGGAAGGACAATGTAAACATTTGAGAGAAGACAGAGGCGAAGAAGGTAAGGAGGCAGAATCTGAATTTCTTCAGAGTTAGCAAAATGATCCAAATGTCAGTAAACATCAGTAGCTAAGAAATATGTTGGTAATGCCTTCCTGAGATGCTGCTGCTTTGACCTCTGACTATCTATCTCTGTAGGTGACGCTTAACAACCTTTCTTATCACTCTTGCTCCCAGTGCAGTTATTTTTCCCCTTTTTTCTCTCTTAATTATATGTGTAGGAGAATGTGGGAATATTACTGTGCTGAAATTAAACAATCTTCCTTCATCAAAACTCAGCTGAGTTTTCGACTTCTTATACTTCAACTTTTATAATGTTTTTAACACAATCTTATTTCCTGTACATGTGCTTATCTTAAGTTTGATCCTTCTTTAGCTTTTGTCTTCTTTCTTGAGACATCAGTTTCCCTTTACTCAAATGCTGTCTTTTTAAAGCTTGTTTTTCAGCTGTAGATCACCTTCGAATTCACAGGATCTGCTATTCCTCTGCCACCTCTAAATCTTTTGTACTTCCTTCCATGTCAGTCCTCAAGCACATGGGGAAAACCATTCTCATGCAAATGTGGAACCACTTCTGTCCTCAGTGTGACTTCCCCTGACTTCCCTGAAAGTTAACTGTGGGGATGAGATGCTTTGTCCTTTGCTTTGCTTCTTGAATGTTTCTTTCCACTTTACCTTCCTTGTGAAAACTTATGTAGGTAAATAAGCCACCTTAACTATGCTTGTCTTTCATCTTGTAGGCTGCCAATAAATTTAAGCCTGGTTCCTGTGATTAATGTCCATAATTCCCTGACTGTGATTAGTGAAAGCTTATTTTCTATCCGCGTGCTGAGCTCCTTGCTTTTTATGAGATGGTGATCTTTAGACACCAGGTTGGTTGAGTGGAAATGTTTTTCTATTATTTCTTTTGAAGAATGAACGTGCTGACAGTAGTAGCATAATAATATCTTAGTCTTTTAAATTTGAGTAGCTTAGAAACTAAATCCTAATGCAATATTTGCATAACTCATTCAGTACATAGAATTATGTTTAAGCTTTTTAAGACATTAAGAATACTTTAAGCTGCAAAGTGCAGTAAATCAATAATGTATATTAATCTTGAATTCTAAGTAGATATGCACACTGAATTTAACCTTTTTTTTCTTCAGAAAAATTAACAATATAGAAAATAAAAAACCTTAAAAAGAAATCCAGGGGGACACAATTTTGGTAATGTAAGACATTCAGAAGATAATTTTTCCTTGCAAGTTTTGTAATACCCAAACTGAATTGATAATTCTGTACCAATATCATGTATATCCACTTTTGGGGCCTTGTTCAAAGTAATTATCTTCCCTGTTCTTTTCGAGCTGTTGAAATTTTCAGTGTGCAATTTATGATGTGAATTGATGTTTGCTCTGTAGGAAATTCTGATCATTTTAAAACTTCAAAAACATTATTTGTATTTATAAGTGTATATATTTAAAAATGTTCTCTTAATTTTACTTTGTATTTTATTATATAATTGACCAGAACTGGGTGGGTAGGGGAGCTAATATTTATGAAGTATGTAATTTGCCTTAGAAACAGTTATCTTTCTCATTTAGCACTTTGTGACGAGGTCTTGGAGTGTCCTTTAACATTCTTTTGGACCCCCTTATTTCCCACATTTCCCTTGCAGATAGAAAGTAGTGTGAGAAAAGCATTAATATTAGAAAAAGGTGACTATAGTGAACTAGGTATCGATAGTTGGTTTGGGATCACATCTTACATCATGTGCCAGAAAGCTTTCAGCTCAAGATCCATGAAAGAAGTTAGGTTAGTTGCTGCCTGTTCTTTTCCATGCTGAGTATATATTTCTACTGATGTAACTGCTAATGAAAATCTGTACAAATCCAGTGTTGCCTATCATAAATGCAGAGCCCAATAACATTCATCAATAAAATCTCTGAAAGGTGGGGAAGAAATGCAGGTTTTAGAAGTTAAGCATGAAAATGCAGTTCTCAGAGTTTGGTTCAATCTGCAAAGAGCATCTCACATAGGAAGGCACGCTTTAATATATTCATAGCATGTGGGACATTTGGTCTTTTTCCTTTGAAGCATAATAAGGAATAGCTTCAAATGTCTGTTCATTCTTTTAGATGTTTTGAAACATTCCAGATACTCTTCCCCCAGGTGGTTAATGGGCATTATGCAAAGTTCTGTTTGTCCTTAGGTCTGTGTGTAATTTAATTATTGGATAAGTTATTAGCAAAATGACAAAATTACAGCCCCATTTTTTTTTCACTGTAGGAAAATAAGTATTAATTTACAGGAGATGTAAATGGAACTTCGGGCATCCTAAGAAATTGTGGCCTAAACTTTTAGTGTTCTTTCTTCCTTTAAAACAGTGTTCTAATAATAATAAATGATGCTATGAATCTATCCCCGTAGGGTTTGATAATAAAAAATTAAAAACTGCTCAGTGCTTCTGAGGTCAGCTGAGCCTATCTGGCAGCTGTAATACATGCTTGTAATGTCACAGGGCTGTGGTCCATGTCATGCAGTTCTTCCACTGCTGAACTTCAGTGCTGCAGAAAAGGGAAGAAAAAGTAAATTCTACATAGTGTATAAGAGAAGAGGCTTCCAGGCTCATGTCAGTGGTGTGATCATTCCCTAAAGCTTTCTGCTGGTGGAAATGCTCAGAGTGCATTGAGAATAACAGAGACTTCTGCCTTCTCAACGGTCTGTGAAAGCAGAAGCTTTATAGCTGTCTAGGTTGTCACTTGGAAAGATGAGGTATTGTGAACCGTAGGCAGATAATTTCTCTTAGGATGTTGACTTTAGGAATACTTCTATGGCATGAGATGTCCCAGGGTGAGACATCAGCGTGCGACTTGCAGGTGTGAGCCAGGACTTATGGGAGCCCAATGATCCCCAGAGTCTTAGAAATGGTGCTAGATGCCTGTATTTCAGCAAAATCCCATCCCAATAATTTTTTTACAGCTTTTTGGTCATGGGAAGTCTGATGGCTTTTCTTGGCAAATTGTTCCAGCATTTCCGTATTCTCTTTGCTAAGTGCTTAACACTTTGTAGTTCAGCTTGCCAGACTTGGCCTCTGATTTCATCAGCCGGGTTAAAAGGACTTCCCTTACAGTGCACTTCTTGGCATGGTGTTCAGCTTTGTGATTACAGCAGTAGCGCCAGCTATGTGGTGCCCAATGCCATTTGGCTGTGGTCTTGCTTTGGTCTGCCTGCACTATGGGTATGTTCTGCTTTTTCTGTTATTCGTCAAAACCTGATTCTTGTTCTTCTGTTGTCTGCCTGGTCACTCGGGGACCTTGTCTTTGCAGCACCAGTCCTGTTCTTGAAATGTCCTTGCAAACCAGCCAAAACGGTTCATGTCCTTTCACTGACCAGCAGGTTTTTGTAGGGGAGGCTGTTACCTTGGGAACTCTCAATCTCTGCAATAATGAGAGGAAGATCTAGAACAGATACTTGTCAGCTTGTGTTTATGCAAGAATTTGGGTTCTAGAGAGCTTCAGTTTATGTAGCACTTCCCCTGCCTGCTTTATCCCCACCTGCCTTGCAGTAGGCAGCTTTCCAAGCAGACGCTCCTACTTTGTCTGCTTTTCTTCAACATCTGCATGTTTCACCTCTTTTTCTACTTCCTGGACAAAACAAAAACCCACAAGCTTTTGCTGATCCCCATTAATACAAAGCTCTGACCATTCCCTGACCTTGACGAGGGCTTTACAAGCCCTCACTGACAAGGCCCAGCAGATGGGTGTCATTGGGACCTGCTTGTGAGACTACTTTGAAATACATTTCTATTCCAAACCTGTTTGCCTTCACCTCTCGCGAGCTGAAGCTGAATGTCACATCGAACCAGCTGCTTCACTGTGCAGGTGGCCTGACCTGTTGACTTCTCTTATCTGCACATTTTTAACACTCTTTTTGTGCAGGTGTTACTGCCTGTGACCCCGTGTCTGCAAGGTTAATATTAATTCTACTTCAAGTCACCATTTCTTTGAGGGCAATTCTGAATTAGCCACTGGTTTTTACAGCTTTTGAGCTGTGAGAGCAGCTCTCAGATATTTCTGATAATTCAGCAATGAGACAGCTTCTGTTAGTATCAAGGCTGCGGAAGGAGGTGTGAAATGTGGAAGGGAGATAAGTGGCTTAGTCACTGTTCAGAAGTCCAGGACTGGGCACTACTTTATAGCATTCAGGATGAGTGAGATCAAATACTGTTAATTCAGGTGTGCTGATTTTCCTGGTGTATAAGGAAAAATTTCACAAAAGAACTCGAAGTGTGAAATATGCTTCACCAAAATCCTTTTCTTTGTCTAACAATTGTGTGGCAGCTCTCTCTTTTCTTTAATCCCCATTTTTAAAGTTCATTTTATTAAGCTTTAGTTTACTACTTCCTTTGGAAACAAAGCAAAGATAAGAAAAGAATTGGCGAGTTTACTATTCTGTGAGCTATCCACACATTTGCAAAACGTGCAGAGTTTTTTTCTGTACTAACAGCTCTGAGAATTGCCAACTTCATGAATTTTGCAATAGAGAATATCTATGAATAGTGTTTTAAACTTTTCATATTGTTTTTCTGTGTTGGTAGAGTTGTCCCTATGGCTAAGCATAAGGCAGCCTTTTGTGGGAGATAGAGCTTAGAAGAAAGCTATGGAAGATCTTCCATTGCACCAGGTTATAAAAAGAGGAGGGAACACGTAAAGCTGCGCACAGTTTCTCAGCTGTCTAGGTCAGATGCATGTGAGCGTACGTATGGAGAGCTGGAGCTCCCTTCTCTGAGAGTTATCAGAGTGTTTGCCTTAGGCTGTTCCACCCATGGTGGAACAAGTAAGGAGGTTCTCCTTTGTCTCTAGATGTTTCAAATGGAGCTCTGTTACTTGCCTCCCTGATTGTTTATGGATTTTTCTCATTATTTATACTTTATTTTATATCTCTTCCCTTTTTGTCCTCGGAGAACACATTAGAATAGAAGTGGTTGTCTTCTCTGTCTCAGTTTAACATGCTGTGAATTTAACTTTAAAGGTAGATTTTAACTGAGGTATTGAAAAGACCAATTTCTGTATGCCAGGCATAACTGTCTGAGTTAGCAGAATCACAGAATGATTTTGTCAGGAGGGATCATTAAGATGACGTCATTCTAATCCTCTGCTCCATTAGAAGGGTGATGCCTACTGCAGCTTATGCAGAGCACCTGGGAAGTGGAGTACAGCGCAGCTGCTCTCTCAGTTGGTATACAAGCTGCTTGCATAGCTGGGGCAATGCTGCAGAACCTCTGGGAATCTCTGAGCCCTTTGCTTTTGCTGTGACTCCCAAGGAGCTGTACCTACTCCTGGGAAAACGATACCCTGACTGATTTTGGACAGAACAGGCATTGTTCCTGAACACAGTTGTCCACCCACCCTACCTACGCTCTGCCTATGGAGGAACATGATACGTTTTCTAAACGCCAAACACTCAAATATAACCCAAGTTTACATTTGTTGTCTTAAAATGTGAAAGTTGTCCCCTTTGTCTGCAAACCTCTGGAAAAGGCAGAAGTACTTCCCACAAAGAAGATTTTAGGTATGGTGGACTACACACAAGCCAAGATGAATGCTGACAGTTTGGCTGAGGCGTGGAAAGGATGAAACTTGTTCTATGGAGGAGTTAGCTGGTAACTTAAGAGAACAGAAAAATAAAATTATAAAACAGAAAAAACTAAGAGGAGAAAAGCCAGCTGTGCTTGCTTTGGTAGCTCTGTGGCTTTCTTCTTGTGCTTAATAGTTTTCCAAGGTTTTACAAACAAACGCATGCCACATGTGCAAAAGCTTGTAGTTCTCGTGGTGTGACTGTGTGGTATAATGACATTGACGAGGGGCTGTGGGGAGAAAAGTGCTTTCTGAGTTTCTCCCTGGCATGTTTCTGGCTAAGCAACAGAAGGGTGGCTCCACTAGGCAGAATGGAGGCTGGCTCAGCGGAACTCCTGCGATTC